CGCCCGTCTTCTTTTTTTTTTTTTTTTGTATTTTTAGTAGAGACCAGGTTTCACTGTGTTAGCCAGGATGGTCTCAATCTCCTGACCTTGTGATCCACCTGCCTGGGCCTCCCAAAGTGCTGGTATTACAGGCGTGAGCCACCACCCCCGGCCACGTTTAAAATTTTTTGTAGAGACAGGGTCTTGCTATGTTGCCTAGTCTGGCCTTGAACTCCTGGACTCAAGCAATCCTCCTGCCTTGGCCTCCCAACGTGCTTGGATTAGAGGTTTAAGCCACCATGTCAGCCTGGAGGCTGGTTTTGAACGCAGGCTCCCTCCATCTAGTATGTATTGAAATTCCAGACCCCCGCAATAGGAAAGCCAGTGCAGTATATACTGTGTTGTTTGCATAGACTAGGCCTGACCAACCAGCCTCATTAGTTCACTACTGACCTTGAGCACGGAGCATGCTGAGAGCAAATGCTCAGACACCAGCAGACCAGTCCGAGGAGAGGAGCCTCAGGCCTGCTGGGCAGCCCCTCTCCTGCACGGGCGGCCTAATAGTTCTCCCTGAAGCTGGGTATCCGTATCTTTATCCCCCCAGGAGTGGGAGGAGCGGCGCAGACAGAACATTGAGAAGATGAACGAGGAGATGGAGAAGATCGCCGAGTACGAGCGCAACCAGCGGGTCAGTGGTGCGGGTGTCCCCATGGCTGGGCCCAGCTGCCTGGGCTGCGGGGAGCCGGTGTCAATCCCCTGCTCCGCTGCCTGCAGGAAGGGGTGCTCGAACCCAACCCGGTGCGGAACTTCCTGGATGATCCCCGGCGACGCAGCGGGCCCCTGGAGGAATCTGAGCGGGACCGCCGGGAGGACAGCCGCCGGCATGGCCGCAACTGGGGTGGCCCTGACTTTGAGCGGGTGCGCTGTGGCCTTGAGCACGAGCGGCAGGTGGGTGCTGGCGATGAGGACACCCCGGGGCTGTCAGGGCTATGATGGGGACTGCGCAGCAGGAACCAGACAGATCAGGGCCATGGGGCCTCTCCTTTTTTGTGCCGTAGCACAGGACTTTTTTTTCATTGAGAGGAGTCTTGCTTTGTCACCCATTCTGGAGTGCAGTGGCGCCATCTCGGCTCACTGCAACCTTTACCTCCCGGGTTGAAGCAATTCTTCTGATTCAGCCTTCCAAGTAGCTGAAATTATAGGCGAGTATTACCACGCCTGGCTAATTTTTTCGTATTTTCAGTAGAGATGGGGTTTCACCATGTTGGCCAGGCTGGTCTTCGCAACTCCTGACCTCAAGTAATCTACCTGCCTCGGCCTCCCAAAATGCTGGGATTACAGGTGTGAGCCACTGTGCTTGGCCAGGATTTTAATTATTAAGGATTTGTGGTATGTTTTGTTTCCTGCTAAGGCAAATCTTCCCTCATTGTTAATGACATCAGCATTTATGAGGCACCTACCGTGTGGCAGGTGCTGTGTGAGGGGTGGGGACCGGACCTGACCTAGAAGAGGAGGGAGGGGCAGTGTCCTTGCACTTGGTGGTCCACCCCCAAATTGTTCGTCTGTTGGTTCTTCTGTCAGTACCACGCTGCTCTAGTTGTTACAGCTTTGTGGTATGTTTGAGCGTTTTCTTGTTACTAACAGTATTTTTTTTTTTTTTTGGTGACGGAGTCTCGCTCTGTCACCCAGGCTGGAGTGCAGTGGTGCCATCTTGGCTCACTGCAAGCTCCGCCTCTTGGGTTCACACCATTCTCCTGCCTCAGCCTCCTGAGTAGCTGGGAGTAGCCGCACGCCCAGCTAATTTTTTGTATTTTTAGTAGAGAGAGGGTTTCACCATGTTAGCCAGGATGGTCTTAATCTCCTGACCTTGTGATCCGCCCCCCTCAGCTTTCCAAAGTGCTGGGATTACAGGCGTGAGCCACCATGCCCAGTGGGATAAGAGTTTTGAGGCAGAGCCCCTTCCTTGATGAGGTTTCTATTGGTGGGAGCTGAGTGAATGAAAATATAGCAAGATGTGAGGTCCTGCCAAGTGTTGTGGAGAAAAATCCAGCAGCTGAGGGGACAGAGGGATGCTACAGATCTGAGAGGGCCTCTCTGAGGAGGTGCCACCTGAGCCTACTTGGTTGTGATCTCTGCCTTGTCACTGCTTTCCTGTGTGACCCTGAGCAAGTGGATGTGCCCTGGGGCTTAGGGGTGGGGTGGGGTGTGGGACTGCGCCCTGACTCCCCCTGGGCTGGGGGGCAGGGCCGCCGAGCTGGCCTGGGCAGTGCTGGAGACATGACGTTGTCCATGACGGGCCGGGAGCGGTCGGAGTACCTGCGCTGGAAGCAGGAGAGGGAGAAGATCGACCAGGAGCGGCTGCAGAGGCACCGCAAACCCACTGGCCAGTGGCGGCGCGAGTGGGACGCCGAGAAGACTGATGGGATGTGAGTCTCCTCCCTACTGCCCTCCCTGTGTGGCACCTTGACCTTGGCCCTGACTTCTAAGTCCTGTGCCTCTCTCTGGTTTCTCCTGCTGTGTATGAGTGAGTGACTGCTATATCCTGAGATGCTGTGGACCAGCTGCCGGAGCTCAGCAGCACGGCAGCACGTGAGAGCACTTCTGGTTTTCTTTTTTTTTTTTTTTTTTGGAGACAGAGTCTTGCTCTGCCGCCCAGGCTAGATGGAGTGCAGTGGCGCGATCTCAGCTCACTGAAACCTCTGCCTCCTGGGTTCAAGCAATTCTCCTGCCTTAGCCTCCTGAGCAGCTGGGGTGAGAGGATTTCTTCTGTATGCACGGGTGCGCTGGGCTCATCTGATCCAGGCTGGACGCTAAGCTGTGGGTCACACTGGGCTTGGCTCCTTGCGGCAGGGTGAACTCATTCTGCGCCAGGGTGTTCATTCTGCTGTCCAGGCTGAGGGCAGCAGCTGCCTGGAGAGCGCTTGCCCTGACATGGGCAGATGCACAAGCGGGCACACTTGCCAGTCGTTTTTGCCAGCACACTCCATCTCACTGGGGCGGGGAAGTAAGCTCTGCCCACTCCAGTGGATAAGAACACCGGTGGCTGCAGGGACGTCAGTTCCAATGCAGGGAGGGTGTGAAGGCTGTTTAACAGCGATTAGACCTTTGCATCCTCCCGCCAGCCTCTGACCTGTCCCCACCAACACAGATTCCTGAACGTCTTTCCATGCCCCACCATCACCACCTCCTTCTTCTTTTTTTTTCTTTTTTTTTTTTTTTTTGAGACGGAGTCTCGCTCAATCGCCCAGGCTGGGGTTCAGTGGCCAGATCTCAGCTCACTGCAAGCTCCGCCTCCCGGGTTCATGCCGTTCTCCTGCCTCAGCCTCCCGTGTAGCTGGGACTACAGGCGCCCGCCACCGCGCCCAGCTAAGTTTTGTATTTTTAGTAGAGACGGGGTTTCACCGTGTTAGTCAGGATGGTCTCGATCTTCTGACCTCGTGATCCGCCCATCTCGGCCTCCCAAAGTGCTGGGATTACAGGCGTGAGCCACCGCGCCCGGCCTCTTTTTTTTTTTTTCTTTGGAGATGGAGTCTCGCAGTGTTGCTTGGCCTGGAGTATAGTGATGTGATCTCGGCTCACTGCAACCTCCGCCTCCTGGGTTCAAGCGATTCTCCTGCCTCAGCCTCCCGTGTAGCTGGGATTACAGGTGCCTGCTACCACATCCAACTAATTTTTGTATTTTTGGTAGAGACAGGGTTTCACCATGTTGGCCTGGCTGGTCTTGAACTCCTGACCTCATGGTTTGCCCACCTGAATCTCCCAAAGTGCTGAGATTACAGGTGTGAGCCACCGTGCCCGGCACCACCACCTTACCCCAGTGGCATTGTTAACCTCAAGTTTGACTCTGTCCCCCGATTCAGTCAGACTTAAAACCCTCATCACATCGTTGTCATGGGGACCAACTTCCATAGCCAAGAAGGAGAAGGTTCAGGAAGAGCCAATAAATGGCAGTATTTAAAGATCAGCAACTTTAGGTTTTACCTCATCCCCCATTCTTTCCTGTGTTGAAAGTTTTCATTCACCTGTAACTTGTGTTTTGGCTTTGGCTGAGGAGAAGGATTTTGTCTGCCCGGTGGTCGGGAAGCATTCTGTTGTGGATTGTGAGCTAAGCCTGTGCAAGTGTGAGAAATATTTTGCTCAGATACTATAGCTGATCTTCCTAAGGAGGAGGCAGCTGGACTTTTGGGGAGATGTTCTCAGGGTTCACAGTGAGAAAGTATTTGTTTTTCTTGTGTGTCCCAAAAACAGTTTGCAACAAGTCTGATGAATAATGTGTGTGTGGGCTGGGTGCAGTGGCTCACGTCTGTAATCCCAGCATTTTGGGAGGCCGAGGCGGGCAGATCACGAACGAGGTCAGGAGATGGAGACCATCCTGGCTAACATGGTAATACCCTGTCTCTACTAAAAATACAAAAAATTAGTCAGGTGTGGTGGCGGGCGCCTGTAGTCCCAGCTACTTGGGAGGCTGAGGCAGGAGAATGGTGTGAACCTGGGTGGCAGAGTTTGCAGTGAGCCGATATCGCGCCACTGCACTCCAGCCTGGGTGAAACAGCGAGACTCCGTCTCAAAAAAAAAAAAAAATGTGTGTGTGGGCCAGGCGCAGTGGCTCACGCTTATAATCCCCACAATCCCAGCACGTTAGGAGGCCGAGGCTGGAGGACTGCTTGAACCCAGGAGGTTTGCAGTGAGCCGTTATGATGCCACTGCACTCCAGCCTGGACCACAGAGCAAGACCCTATCTCTAAGAAAAAAAAAATGCATGGTGTCTTGCTTTCATCAGCATATATTTGAGTCCCCCCTATGTCATAGAAGGTTCTAGGTGATACAGCAGCAAACAAAACATTTCTGCCTTTGTGGAACTAAGAATGTAGTGGGCAAGGTGGGTAATTAAGAGGTCTAATGTCAGGCCCGGAAGGACAATGAAGCAGAGTAAGCAGCCAGGGTGGAGATTAGAATTTTAGACTTAGATTTGGGAGGCCGAGA